TATAATTGGAAACTTAAAAGTTCTCCCACACAACTTATATTTCCTTCAGATTATCCACAACTACAAAGTACAAACCAAGAATAATGAGTTCGCTTGGTAAGACAAAAAGTATTTATTTAAATGCCGAAAAACCTACAATATATTTGTAAAAATTGAGTCACCGATTAGCATTCGCCTGTCTTTACTCAATCCATGAGCTTGCTAACCGATATTCACCCACGTGCTCGCTGCCTTTTGCAAATATGTTTTAGATGTGTGGCGCTAATTTAGAGAATAAAAATTTATGAATGAATTCTTTACAATTCTGAGATTTTAAAATTGAATAATCCTCAAAGTCAGAAGCAGTTCTGAGAAAGTTTTTTCCCAAATTTTCATTCTTTTAATTGCGGATTCTCGGTTGCATGAGTTTAATGTACTAAAGATTGATTTTATCGCCAAAAACTTGCATTTATGTGAAACATATGGTCCGCATATGGCAAAAAAAAACTAGAAACAAGATTAAAATATTCACTCATAAGCCAATCGTCCTTCAAATCTCACAACTTTTTTGCTGTTGTTCTCTTTTTACAATTTTTTTTTCTGCTCTCTCACATGTTTCGTATTAAGTTGAATGTAATTTAAATCAATGAATTTCTTGCCACTCTTGACTGACTTTATGTCTGTGTGGTGCTGCACATGAGGAAATTCTTCTTCTTCTTTTATGTTACAATGTAGGGATGAATGCAAAATTTATGATCCTTGTTGTTATTTATGCCTCTTTTCCTTTAACTTTTTAAGTGATTTTTCTTTTATCCCATAAGTACTCTTCCTCCCTAGTTTCCAATAATAATTCTTATGAATTGTGTTAAAAATTTAATTGAAATGAATTTATATTTTATTTTGTGGGAAAAAGAACTCTTCCTTCTTTTTAATTATCTCTGTTTATGTTCGGGGAGTGAGAGATGCTTTTATATATTCTTTCTGTACTTGCAGACAGTCGTAAAATTGAAATGTAGGACAAAGGAGATACGCGTTTTTAAAATATGATTCACATACGTAACAGAAATCGCCGAGATTGTGGGATTTATGGCTTGAGTTAAATAATATTTTGAAAAATGTATGTAAATAGAGCAAAATTTATGATTTGAGGTCATGTGCTGACAAATTTTGAGTGTAAATCATGATTTTTACATTTAACGGTCTAATTTTATTCAAATATCAAAAATTCTGTTGTATGGTTTTCAAATTTTGGAGTGCCTATTAAAATAACGAATTTTAAAATTTCGAAACTTCATTTTTACGAACTCACATTTTTACGACCATATCATTTTTACGAAAAATTATTTTTTCGACTTTTTTATAAATTTCAAATTCTAAAATGTCGTTAATTTCATCACGCGTTCTCTTCAATAATAAATCTTCAAAAAAAAGATTAATAGAACAAACTGGAACAAACGTTTTTAAATGTATGGAATTAAAACGTATTTTTTATTCGTTACAATTACAATTAAGCTTTTAACTATCATTTTTGACTACTTGCCTTTATTAAGATTAATAGCCTTTAATCTTTCAACTCGTGGCACGGATTGTCGACGGTTCATGATTGATTTAATGGAATTCTATGTCTTTTAAAAACCTGGCATTCTATACTTTTGTGGCTTTCCAGCCAAATATTTGTCGATATCCATTTCGATGGACACAAATTCTTTCCATTGAAACATTAAAGGCTATTGCAGTAGTCAAAAATGATTTAGAGCTTAATTGTGTTTATTGCTCCTTTTAACATACACATGTAGTCCATAAAATGTGATATTGAAAAAAAAAAATACGTTTTAATTCCATACATTTAAAAACATTTGTTCTATTAATTTTTTTTGCAGATTTATTATTGAAGAGAACACGTGATGAAATTAACGACATTTCAAAATTTAAAATTTATAAAGAAAGTCGAAAAAATAATTTTTCGTAAAAATGATATGATCGTAAAAATGAAGTGTTCGTAAAAATGAAGTTTCGAAATTTTAAAATTCGTTATTTTAATAGGCACTCCAAATTTTGAACTTATTGTAAGGTTTCAAAAATTCAAATTTTTCTGTAACGGATTTTTACAAAAACATTAGTTCCAAATCGATAAAAATCTATCGACACACCTCAAAGTTTATCTTTGCGAAATATTAAATCAAAAAAAAAAACATTTACTTTTCATTAATATTTATCGTTCAATACCCTTCCAAAAATGCCTAGGTTGACCACTCCTACACATAAACATATTCATGCGTTAATTTTAAATGAAATTTGAATCCACAAAAACTTGCAAATGTGCAAAAAAAAACTTAAAATGTTTATGATTTATTGCAAATAAAACGTTTACGCAATAATAATGTTAAGTGGCATTTATTTAATTAAAGTAATTTTGCTTCCAGCACAACAAATACATCCGACAATTGCGTGCATTCTACAAAGTATCATCAACATATTTATGTCCAATTAATTATTTTGCTTTTGTTCTACAATAACTTTTATTTCTATTTGAATGACCACCATAAAATGCAATAAAATCATGTTGATGATGATTAATAATATCTCGATATGCTCATCGATGTGATGCGAAACTGAAAAACATAAATTTCATGGCGGTTACAGAAGCATAGAGTTCATTCCCATTTAATTGTTTAGAATATATGTTTGTGCCTTCTTCTTTATTTCTTCATCTCTTGTTTGTCACAAAAGAATAATGCATGATAATTGATTGTCCAGATCTTCACATAAATAAAAATGTGTTAGAAGCATCTTTTTAAAGAAGAAGCAATTGTTTGGAAGTAAGATGCATTTGATGACCAGAGCGCTTGAGGTTTAAGATTTTTAAAGGTCTCAAAATATTCAAATTTTAACGGTTTTTTAAAAATTCAATTTTTTTTTGATTTTTTTAAATTAAAATTTTAACGAATTTTAAAGTTTTTGTTGAAGTTTAAAAATTTGACCCAAAGTGAAAATTTGACCCAAACTACAAACATTGTCACAAACACCAAACATTTGATTTTTATAGCGTCAAAATATAAATCTCTCTTTTGAAAAAAAAAATTGAGATTCAAAAAACTGTCATCATCTTTAATTCATGACAGCTGACACAATTTTCTTTCATGTTCGAGCACAGCATCGAATGATAAGTAACAAATTAGTATAATATTAATTCATTCATGATTTATGTTATCACAATATATATATGAATAGTAAATCCATTGCCGTTTGACCTTGTGATCCATGAAATGAGAAATTGAGTAGTGTGAGAGAGTAAGCAGGAATTCCTTTTACAAAGATAACGACAATTGTAAACAAAACAAGTAATATTTCGTACGTAGCTTTTTTAAGGCTTATCGCTAAGAAAAGCTGTAAGGTGATTCATTTAAATTTTGCAGTACAAAATAGCAAATTTTTATCACCTAACATTTTGTTTACTCATATGAAGTCATTTTATTTTTTCTATTTTGAAAAAATCTGTTCCGCACAATGCAAATCATCAAATAACCTGTATGCTGATTCTTTTTCTCTCGGGTCTTAAAATTTTGATTTTTTTTTGTCGCAAAAAACGTTCATGACATCATATATCTCTTCAAATAAATTATCTTATTCACACACATATCCAAGATGATTGTCGAGATGAAAATAAGAATTTATTAAAATTCAAAGATTTGTTTCTCATTCTCATTTTTTTATTATTGTTAAACACAGAGGCGTTTCTTGTGAATAAATAATATTATTTTGTTTTGTATCTTGAACGTATCGCCACCGCACAAATCATTTTTCTTATATGTTCACAAGATAATTTTTCACTTTTCACAAGTGGTAAGGTTGGAATCGATCGTGAGTTGTGAATGATTGAGAATTTCTGACTTCAAAACTTTTGTGAACGTATTGGAAATTTGTTGTTTTTACGAATTTTTTACTCTGTTTGTAATGCATTCTTCATGAAAGTCTGTATTTAAACTAGCTTCTGTTTATTGAAACTTAATTTAAATGATGTTTCTTTGCTCAAATTAATTTTTATTGATGTTTTTAAATTAAAATTTGAAGCAATTTGAAGAACGAAGTGAATAATCAGTGTGGCGCATTCTCGAAAAACTTTGAAATTGCTTCAAAATTAATGTCGAAAACTTCAAAATTTAAGCCGATAATTTGAATTTCAATTGTCGGTTATATGAAATGTAAACAAAGAAAAACTTTGAAATCAAAAACAATGATTTTAGCTCCTATTAATCATGATTTATCCTAATCAACATAATCTTTGGAATGTTTTATCACTTTTAAATAGTTCACACCACAACAGTGTGCTTAAATAAGCAATTTATAATGGAAATCATAATTTATGAATTCATTTACTAACACATTTACATGTTTTGTTTACTTTTGATATTTTTGTCGTGAAATCTTTTAAATTACAAATTTTTTCCTTCACTGAGCTAAATAGTTTAAAGCTTTAAAATAAGTAAAATTAAAGGTTTTTTGTAGCGGTTAAAATAAATTTAAAATATTCAAAAAAAATCGGTAAAAATTCTAAAACTGTAATTTTCGTGGTGTCGTATCACTATGAATAATGTTCAGCAATAACAAAAGGGGTGCTAAACTATGACAAACTGTGTTGATCTGAAAATAAATTATACGTTATTAATTCTGCTAATAAACTGCTTAATGAACGGAAAGAAGGCACACAAAATAAGCTTTAAAAGCTAATGGTTATTGGTTTCTAGAATTCTATTAATATTTCACTAGTTTTTTCATGTTTTCGATAAAACTTAAATTCAATGATCGTCTCACGATTATGCTAATCAAAACTAGCTTTAAATGACAAATCGTTCGATCCAACTTAACTTTCATATATGTAAATAATTCGATCAAAAACCGAAGCACTAGAATAATTGTAACATTAACTTAAAAATCGTGTAATTCGCACCACTATGAAATTTTCTCGCTCAGAATATACCGCAAATGTCCTTCATCACTTAATATAAAAATCTCAAACTCACCAGCTTCGTTGTTCCTGATGCAATGCAACACTGAAACCAAACATTGATCCATCTTGTCCTTCATGACTAATATAATTTGCAACATCTAAATTAAATGTATTAATATTGTTGACAAGCAGCAGTAGCAGCAGAAGAGGTCTTATCAGTAATCCTATTATTCTTGAATTCATTTTGACAATTTTTATTATTTTAATTATTTTTTATTTCTTCCTTTTTTCCACTAATTTAATTTAATTTTAGTGTATTTTTTGCACTATTAATTGAACCTTATCGAATCATCGTTGTAATCCTGTAAAAGTAAGAAGAATAAAAAAAACTGTGACTTTTTGAAGGCCAAAATCGCACACTAATCGACTTTTTTTCTTCTAAATCAAAAAATAAACTTTTTTTTGAATGAATTTTTTTAACATTAAACACCCAAACACACTCGCGAGGCAGGCAAAAAAAATCGTTTAAATAAATAGAAGATTTAAAAATAGATTTTTTTTTCTTTTCTGAATCACGAAGAAGAAAATTTTATTTTTTTTAATAAAGAAGGAAAAATGATAAAATTTTCTCAAATGATTCGACGATTCACTTTAAAATTTCTATAAATTTACGCAAATTTAAAATAAATATTTCATATATTTCACTAGTAACTTCTTCTTTAATTACATTTTTTGATAATTTATTAAACAGATTCTGCGATCACTTCACTTAAATCCATATATGTGAAAAAATAGAAGTGAGAAAAACCCACGAACGAACTTTAGAGAAAAACTTAAAAAACGGTCTTTACTGCACGACGTATATCCACATTCTGAGAAACTGTTGAGAAATAATGTGAAAGAGGAAAAGGAAAAGAAAAAAAAATGTTGAGCGCGAAAAGAGAGAAAATGTGCAGTCTGTGCTGAGTGCTTGAGTTTTTGTGATCTTTATTTTATTCTCTGTGATCTTCTTATCAGTATTGAACGTTTTTACTTACGCTGAGATTTAATTTTTACACTTCTCACAGCATTCTGAGAGCGAGAAATCTTTTTATTTTCGGCACTTTGATAAGCAAATTTATATTTCTTTGCATGTTATCTTATTTCTGAGATTCTTGGTTGCAAATTTAAGATAATTAGGGATGTAATTTAGAATAGTCTTTGTGATAAAATGTAGATAATAGAGATAAAAAAATGTTCTTGAACAATCAAAGATCACATTTTAACTTCACTTGTGGTGAAAATGAATAACGGTTAAAAAAGCAATCGTAACTGTCAAAATAATTTCAAAATTTTCACCACATGTGGTGAGTTTAGCTCGATTATTCAAAAATTGAGTTATTTCTCTGAATTTGTCTTTAGTCCTTTCATTTGTTTTCTATTTCATTAATGGCTCGAATATATAAGGGGCTGTTCACTTATTACGTAACACGAAAAAATGACTTCTTAGACCCCCCCCCTCGTAACAAAATTTGTATGAAAAAAAATTTCCTTGTTTGAATCGTAACAAGATCTTAGACCCCCCTCCCCCTAAAAGCGTTACGTAATAAGTGAATGGCCCCTAAGATAATTCTAGTAAAACAGTAAAGATCTCTTAACTTCATTACTTAAAGACTACTGAAAATGAGTGAATCACGTTTCAACTTTCCAAATAGTTCACTGGATGTTTTTGATATTGCAATTGCTTACTTTTAATCTTAGATTCTCATACTTATTTCATGCGAGCTGAGTCCTGGAAATAGCATAAGATATAGGTTAATATTCATATTTAAAGTGTATTCAAATTTTTGAGACTATATGTCTAGCTATATTATAAACCAGCTAAGATAACCAAATGAACATCATAGACCAATAAAGATCCACGAATTATCACTAAACCATGAGATACTTCATCCAACGGAAAATGCGCTATTGTCACTCACAGTCCATACATTTTTAAACTAGGTTATAAAGTCAACACAGAATTTTTAATTCTATTAATATTATTCCTTAAATAAAGTTTATCAAGTTAAAAGTTTTAATAGAAAAGTAATAAATATGGCCCTTAATCCACAATACGTCGATATAGGTAAGCAAACAATCGTAAAAATGCAAAAATTTTGCATTTCCATTTTCGGCATCATTAATTTCAACCTTATTTCACAATAATTCTAGGAAAAGGATTTGTTGCACAATATTACGCATTGTTTGATGATCCCAATTCGCGCAATTCACTAGTTAATATGTATAACGTAAGTCTAACTCATGTGATATTATGAAATTAAAATGTTTCGAAGGTTTTTGCGAATCTTCTGGAAGTTGCACAAAAATTAACATCCAGCTTATAACGTTTAAAATTGTTTTATTCGCAGAATGAGCTCTCGTTTATGACATTTGAAGGTCAACAAATTCAAGGAGCTCCAAAGATATTGGAAAAACTTCAGGTAAGCAGATCCAGTGACTTACTTCATGATCCAAGTTAATTAAAGTTTTATTTTAGAGTCTCACATTTCAAAAAATTGAACGTATCATCACAGCCATAGATTCCCAACCAATGTTTGACGGTGGAGTATTAATAAATGTTTTAGGGCGTTTGAAGGTAAGCTCTATCAATAAGCCGTGACATGATTCATAAGGAATTTATGGCATATAAAAAAATACTATTTTCTTATGATTACTCATCAGACGGATGAAGATCAACCACACGGTTATACGCAAACATTTGTTCTTAAACCAATAGGACAGAGTTTTTTTGTGCAACACGATATCTTCCGATTAGCCTTACATGATATGGCATAAGTTCATGTCTTCGTGTTAAAAGTTGCATATTTTACTCTTAATTTATTAATTATTCCTCACAACCAATCAAGTATCGCGAATTTAACATTATAGTGCGCAAAAAAGAACGACTATTGGATAGATCCAGCAGGTAGATGTTGAAAGATCTATAAAATAACAAGCTTTTTGATTTATGTTTTATTTTATGCTGTGCGTCTAATCAATCTCTTTCCTATTAACTTACTTGTTTAATTCTTATTTATTGTTGCTTCTCGCATGATATAATTTCTGACTAAGTTCTTATTTTGACAAATTTCTTCAGATTTCCAGCTATTACTTGATGGCAATGAATCTGATGAGATTTGCTTGTAAATTGGTTTTAATTTCTGTCAACTGACATTATTTTAAGCTTCATTAGAGTTTTTATGAGTTAATTTTTTCAACATTCTTAATCAAAATCGATAATATCAAATGTGGTCTATTGGCGCACCCTTAATTAATCCCCAAACCCCATCAAAAATTTTAAAACATTATTTAATAAATGTTTTCAATAATTTCAGACGGACGAGGACCAACCTCATGCCTATATCCAAACATTCGTACTAAAGCCAGCAGGCGGTAGCTTCTATTTGCAGCACGACATCTTTCGTTTAGCTTTGCACGATCAAGCTTAAATGTTTGATGGAATCAACGATTTTTAAAGTCAATGAAAAAAAAAAAATAAAACTCAGCAAGAAAAATGAGTAAATGAAGGAACAACGTCACATCTTTTTTTGCCACACGAAAAAATTTAACTAATCTTTACATTATTAACATTTCTTATTTGTTTTGCAAAATCGAAAATTTCAAGTTGTATCCAATTTTTTTCAAGCATAATGTGAATAAAGAAGGATTTAAATTTTTCAAAAAAGTGTATTTGTTGATTAATTTACTACAAATGTCTGATGCGAAACGAAAAACAAATCTACTAAAGTTCATTACAATAAAGACAAACTTTCTTCTTATTGATGCGAAACGGTCAAAAAAATTTTTTAAAATTTAACGGGTTTCAAAAATTTAAATTCTCCAGATTCAATTTTTTGAAATAACGGTCGAATTTTAAATTTCTTAAGATTAAAGCTCCCCAAAAAGCTGAAAATTATTTTTCAAACTAGTGTATCGGGTAGAAACCCAATGCGGATATATTCACACCGTACCATCAAAAGTCTTATGGATAGACCAAGACTTGCTCAGCATAAGTTTGAAGGGTGGGCGTGAAGTACGACCGAGACCCATATCGACACAGTTCAAAAGATAAAACCTAATTTATGTCATAATTATGTCAGCTACAAAAGCACTTAATTTGAATTTTGTCACCCTCGGGAACACTATGAACCAGTATAGCTGATTTTGGTCCAAATCTCGGCCATACTTCACACTTATTTGAACCACATTTTCTCGTAAATGTTAAAATGTTATTAAAAAGTATTTAATCCTGAATTATGTCGCTATTTTGTCAAGTGTTTTAAGATAAAGAATTTGTTTTTTGGTTTCCACAGTGAAGAGTATGAACAAAATTCAGATGGGGTAGTCGAAATTTTAGATTTCGTTTTATTTAAGCTATGCATTACAAAAAATAATATTGGTATGTGATTTATGTCAGAATTATGTCAATTCAAATAAAACATCCAAAAAATTTTTTTGACAAAAGTACACCATAGAAAATCAATTTTCAAATTTGGACTAGGGGCGACCCTAGTCAAAATCAATTTTGTCACTTTTTTCTTCGAGGGTTTATCCAAATGGATTGAAACTTTGCATAAATATTCTAGTGCTTAAAACAAATACAAATAAAACATCCTAAAATTTTTTTGAGCAAAGAACCAAGTAGGAAATACATTTTCAATTTTGGACTAGGGGCGACCCTAGTCAAAATCAATTTTGTCACTTTTTTCTTCGAGGGTTTATCCAAATCGATTAAAACTTTGCATAAATATTCTGGTGCTTAAAACAAATACAAATAAAACATCCTAAAATTTTTTTGAGCAAAGAACCAAGTAGGAAATACATTTTCAATTTTGGACTAGGGGCGACCCTAGTCAAAATCAATTTTGTCACTTTTTTCTTCGAGGGTTTATCCAAATGGATTAGACTTTGCATAAATATTCTAGTGCTTCAAACAAATACAAATAAAACATCCTAAAATTTTTTTGAGCAAAGAACCAAGTAGGAAATACATTTTCAATTTTGGACTAGGGGCGACCCTAGTCAAAATCAATTTTGTCACTTTTTTCTTCGAGGGTTTATCCAAATGGATTAGACTTTGCATAAATATTCTAGTGCTTAAAACAAATACAAATAAAACATCCTAAAATTTTTTTGAGCAAAGAACCAAGTAGGAAATACATTTTCAATTTTGGACTAGGGGCGACCCTAGTCAAAATCAATTTTGTCACTTTTTTCTTCGAGGGTTTATCCAAATGGATTAGACTTTGCATAAATATTCTAGTGCTTAAAACAAATACAAATAAAACATCCTAAAATTTTTTTGAGCAAAGAACCAAGTAGGAAATACAATTTCAATTTTGGACTAGGGGCGACCCTAGTCAAAATCAATTTTGTCACTTTTTTCTTCGAGGGTTTATCCAAATGGATTAGACTTTGCATAAATATTCTAGTGCTTAAAACAAATACAAATAAAACATCCTAAAATTTTTTTGAGCAAAGAACCAAGTAGGAAATACATTTTCAATTTTGGACTAGGGGCGACCCTAGTCAAAATCAATTTTGTCACTTTTTTCTTCGAGGGTTTATCCAAATGGATTAGACTTTGCATAAATATTCTAGTGCTTAAAACAAATACAAATAAAACATCCTAAAATTTTTTTGAGCAAAGAACCAAGTAGGAAATACATTTTCAATTTTGGACTAGGGGCGACCCTAGTCAAAATCAATTTTGTCACTTTTTTCTTCGAGGGTTTATCCAAATGGATTGAAACTTTGCATAAATATTCTAGTGCTTAAAACAAATACAAATAAAACATCCTAAAATTTTTTTGAGCAAAGAACCAAGTAGGAAATACATTTTCAATTTTGGACTAGGGGCGACCCTAGTCAAAATCAATTTTGTCACTTTTTTCTTCGAGGGTTTATCCAAATGGATTGAAACTTTGCATAAATATTCTGGTGCTCAAAACAAATACAAATAAAACATCCTAAAATTTTTTTGAGCAAAGAACCAAGTAGGAAATACAATTTCAATTTTGGACTAGGGGCGACCCTAGTCAAAATCAATTTTGTCACTTTTTTCTTCGAGGGTTTATCCAAATGGATTAGACTTTGCATAAATATTCTAGTGCTTAAAACAAATACAAATAAAACATCCTAAAATTTTTTTGAGCAAAGAACCAAGTAGGAAATACAATTTCAATTTTGGACTAGGGGCGACCCTAGTCAAAATCAATTTTGTCACTTTTTTCTTCGAGGGTTTATCCAAATGGATTAGACTTTGCATAAATATTCTAGTGCTTAAAACAAATACAAATAAAACATCCTAAAATTTTTTTGAGCAAAGAACCAAGTAGGAAATACATTTTCAATTTTGGACTAGGGGCGACCCTAGTCAAAATCAATTTTGTCACTTTTTTCTTCGAGGGTTTATCCAAATGGATTGAAACTTTGCATAAATATTCTGGTGCTTAAAACAAATACAAATAAAACATCCTAAAATTTTTTTGAGCAAAGAACCAAGTAGGAAATACATTTTCAATTTTGGACTAGGGGCGACCCTAGTCAAAATCAATTTTGTCACTTTTTTCTTCGAGGGTTTATCCAAATGGATTAGACTTTGCATAAATATTCTAGTGCTTAAAACAAATACAAATAAAACATCCTAAAATTTTTTTGAGCAAAGAACCAAGTAGGAAATACATTTTCAATTTTGGACTAGGGGCGACCCTAGTCAAAATCAATTTTGTCACTTTTTTCTTCGAGGGTTTATCCAAATGGATTGAAACTTTGCATAAATATTCTAGTGCTTAAAACAAATACAAATAAAACATCCTAAAATTTTTTTGAGCAAAGAACCAAGTAGGAAATACATTTTCAATTTTGGACTAGGGGCGACCCTAGTCAAAATCAATTTTGTCACTTTTTTCTTCGAGGGTTTATCCAAATGGATTGAAACTTTGCATAAATATTCTGGTGCTCAAAACAAATACAAATAAAACATCCTAAAATTTTTTTGAGCAAAGAACCAAGTAGGAAATACAATTTCAATTTTGGACTAGGGGCGACCCTAGTCAAAATCAATTTTGTCACTTTTTTCTTCGAGGGTTTATCCAAATGGATTAGACTTTGCATAAATATTCTAGTGCTTAAAACAAATACAAATAAAACATCCTAAAATTTTTTTGAGCAAAGAACCAAGTAGGAAATACAATTTCAATTTTGGACTAGGGGCGACCCTAGTCAAAATCAATTTTGTCACTTTTTTCTTCGAGGGTTTATCCAAATGGATTAGACTTTGCATAAATATTCTAGTGCTTAAAACAAATACAAATAAAACATCCTAAAATTTTTTTGAGCAAAGAACCAAGTAGGAAATACATTTTCAATTTTGGACTAGGGGCGACCCTAGTCAAAATCAATTTTGTCACTTTTTTCTTCGAGGGTTTATCCAAATGGATTGAAACTTTGCATAAATATTCTGGTGCTTAAAACAAATACAAATAAAACATCCTAAAATTTTTTTGAGCAAAGAACCAAGTAGGAAATACATTTTCAATTTTGGACTAGGGGCGACCCTAGTCAAAATCAATTTTGTCACTTTTTTCTTCGAGGGTTTATCCAAATGGATTAGACTTTGCATAAATATTCTAGTGCTTAAAACAAATACAAATAAAACATCCTAAAATTTTTTTGAGCAAAGAACCAAGTAGGAAATACATTTTCAATTTTGGACTAGGGGCGACCCTAGTCAAAATCAATTTTGTCACTTTTTTCTTCGAGGGTTTATCCAAATGGATTGAAACTTTGCATAAATATTCAAGTGCTTAAAACAAATACAAATAAAACATCCTAAAATTTTTTTGAGCAAAGAACCAAGTAGGAAATACATTTTCAATTTTGGACTAGGGGCGACCCTAGTCAAAATCAATTTTGTCACTTTTTTCTTCGAGGGTTTATCCAAATGGATTGAAACTTTGCATAAATATTCTGGTGCTCAAAACAAATACAAATAAAACATCCTAAAATTTTTTTGAGCAAAGAACCAAGTAGGAAATACAATTTCAATTTTGGACTAGGGGCGACCCTAGTCAAAATCAATTTTGTCACTTTTTTCTTCGAGGGTTTATCCAAATGGATTAGACTTTGCATAAATATTCTAGTGCTTAAAACAAATACAAATAAAACATCCTAAAATTTTTTTGAGCAAAGAACCAAGTAGGAAATACAATTTCAATTTTGGACTAGGGGCGACCCTAGTCAAAATCAATTTTGTCACTTTTTTCTTCGAGGGTTTATCCAAATGGATTGAAACTTTGCATAAATATTCGATGCCCGGTAATAACACCGACGCGGAATAACTTCACAACGCAGCTCCGGAATAATGTCGAAAATTTAAAATGCATAGAGCGGTAATAACTTCACCTATATAGCCTGAGTGAACTTATTCCGGCGTGGCGCAGGAATAACTTCACGTAGAAAATGAAGGTGAAGTTATTCTTGCACGCTGTAGGAATAACTTCACTTATATGTGCCAAGTGAAATTATTCCTGCGCCACGTCGTAATAATTTCACAAATTTTTGTCCATCGACATTATTCCGTCATGATGCAGGAATAACTTCACTTATAATTTCTATGTGAAGTTATTCCTGTTTTGTGTAATTACTTTTATGTTATTTTTTAAGGGTTTTTTATGATATTTA